TCCTGGTTGGGGGTGGGGCTATCTCCTGGGCTGTCCCCGCTTTGAGCATCTTCTGCAGAAGTGCCCCTCCTGTCCACCATGGTAGCAAGCTCGGGATGCAGGCCTCAGTCAGTTAGGGCCCTCTCTGAGAGCAGCAATGAGGTCATGATGTCTCTTATCTTTCTCTCTCCTGTTAATAATGTCCCAGTTATAGTATACAGACATGGCCGGTTGTATTAGTTAATCCAATGACTTTCCCCTTCAGCCACAGATTTTGAATTTTCTATGAATATCTGGGGCTGACCATTAGAAATTTATCTTTGAGGAGAACCTGTGATTCTGGGTCCACTGTGGTATGCTTTCTGATAGCATCCTTAAGATGCTGAAGAAAGGTAAGGGGGTTTTCTTCAGGGCCTTGCTGTACTACAGTCACCTGGGAATAGTTTAGAGGTTCGACTTTGGCCCTTTTTAGCCCTTCCACTATGAGATGGATTAAGTGGCATTGATGCCATTTATCCTCCTCACCTTTTTTTTTTTTTTTTTTTAGCAATGCTGGGGAATTGAACCCAGGACCTTGCACATGCTGAGCAGATACTCTCCCAATGAGCTATTTCCTCAGCCCCAAATATCTTTTTTGTCTTTGGGTGTACTGAGATTTGAACTCGGGGCTTTATGCCTGTAAAGCGGCACTCTACTGCTTGAATCACACCATCAGCCCCCTCACCATTCTGATTTTCAGTGTGGATCTGTCAAGGAGACTGCCTGTACCCCTGTAGGTATAGGCATATTTATTCCCTCATTTTTAGGTGCCACTAGTATTGGGGCTCATTGTAAATGGTAATCATTTCCAACCTGAGTGGCCTGGGACAGAACCCATTGCTTTCCTAATGAGGAAAGAGTCAGGTCTAATAGATGCAAAATATCCTTTCATGTCAATTTAAAGGTTTGGATCACAGAGATAAAGGCTTGAATGTATTGATCTGGTGCATCAGTATAGCTACCCACATCTTTTTTAATTTCCCTTAGATATGATAACTGAAAGGGGACATAGAGTCTCCCTCTTCCTACAATTACCTGTTGAAGGGGGAAGCACCCATTAGGAGGTTCTGAATATTGGGGTGGCTTAGAAGGTAGGGCAGAGGTTGGAACAGTAGGGACATGGGCCTTGTCATCGATAAGTCACTTTTCTGGTCCTCCTTTCCATGTTTATCCTGTGGCTTACAAAGAGTGGCCAGTGTTTGAGTACCTAGATCGTAATTATGGAGCCAATCTGGATAGTCTCAGAGATGAAAGAAAATTTTTATAAGGGACCTCAGTTTACTTTTCCTCCTTTTACAGAAAAGGTCTCATTGGAGTATGGTATTGCAATTTAAGGAACCCTATGAAGGCCACTTCTCTTGGTTACCCAAGGTATACTGAGGCCAGGCCTCAGTACAAAGCTTCTAACATTTCCTTTTAATGTTTTAATAGACAAGCCAGAAGCCTGGAAGGGGACAGGTCCATTTAGAAAGACAACAACAACAAACTGGGTCAGTTCCCTTCTGGTCAGTGTTCTGACTGGGAATGACCTTACCAACGAGTCCAGGCATCCCTGTCTCATGACTTCCCCCCCATCCCTGGTCAGGACCAGGGAAAGTGAACTGGTTGGGTTAGACCACCTGACCAATGCAGTGAGAAGAGGAAAAAAAAAACAAAAAACGCTGGGATCCTGCCTTTTATCTAACAGCAGGCAGCCTCTTTAATAAAGGCTACCTTTTTAAAAAGGAGTACATTGTCTATAAAGTTAGAGAGGGACATTCAGAGGGCATCCTGGGGCAATAACAGTACCATAAGGGACGACTAGTTCTAATATCTGGAGGGAAAATTTATTCTGAGGCCAAAAGTATAGGAAATCTTAAATGAGAAGTTTAGAGACCACAGTTAACGTCCATTTTGCTATCTCTGGGATTGTAACCTTGAGATAACAATTAACTTAGGAGGACTGGGTTGGTCAGGCCCAAGGCATAAGGTGGGGCTGGGAACCGGGCTTCAGCAAAACGCTGTCGCCCCCCTCCCACGCCCAGGATGAGCGATCCCATCCTGCCGCCTTTCCCCCCTCCTCCTTCCCCACTTCCCCTGTACGCATTTATTTTTCCTCTCATCCATTTTGGGGAAGTGGCGGCAGGCCACAGCCTCTGCCATGTGTGGCTGGCAGTTTTGGATGTGCTGGGTCCTCTCTATGGATTCTCTTAGATATAGCAGGCATTTCCACTGTGCCCACAGACCAGCATCCCTGTGCGCAAGTGCGCCTGTTTGCTTTCCCTCCTCCCCTTGTGGGGGCAGAGTTAGGGAGTGAGTGTGGCAGCCCAGTTTTTTTTGTAAGTGCATTTGCTCACTGGTGCCTAGCAGCTGATTTAAAGTTGAGAGGCCTGGCAAACCAGTTGGAATAACTTAACTCATAAGGTACCATGCTACAAGTTTTTCCTGGGAGGCAGGGTCCCAGTAAGCCCAGGGAGGGGAAGATAGAGATAAAGGACAAGGCGGGATGGGGTGGGGGGCAGAACGGGTGTATTTTCCAAACTCACTGAAGGAAGCCCACAGCTATTTAGAACTGCCTGGGAAAGAGGAAGGAGAGGCTGAGGATTGGGGGAAAAGAGAGTTTCCAGGCTCAACCCATGAGGGATTATTGGTCATCCCTGCTGTCCAGGTTGATCCTGCCCAAGGGCAGTACTGGAGCACTGGAAGCAAGAGGTAACCTCCACTCTCAGGCATGGTAACCATGAAGGAAGCATGAGAGATCTGATTGTCTGTTTGCCGTGGACATGGCTGGAGAGGTCTGAGATTTAGCTGCCTTTGGAAGCCTCAGCGTGTGTGAGGAAGTTGCGTCTCCAGCCTTTGCATGACACCGGGGAGTGCCCCAGCCAGAACACCTTTTATGGCTTGAAGACAAACTTTCTTTCCCACCAGCTGTTTTCAGACCTCCTCTTAAGCAGGTCAGATCTTGAATGAGAGAGAGTTAGAGTTTAAAGAGAGGAAAAAAGAAAAGGCCTCGGTGCGCTGAAGTAGGGTTCCGCCCACATAGCATTGGCAGTGCAGTATAAATCCCTACCTGGCATCTGAGTTCCCTCAGATTGCCTGCCTTACAGCTGTAATGGGCTTGGAGCTTTTCTTCAGTTTCCCACGGGAGAAACCCTCCTTAACCAGAGAAAGAGAGAGAGAGAGAAAGGGGGTTGGACTGAGAGTTCCACTGTAGCTAGGCCGTGGTGGGGTGTCTGTCCTGGAAAACAGACTCCATTAGAGTGCCAGACGCTCACGGTCACATTCTTAGGCAGCCTTTCCCAGTTTGCCACAACCTATACCAACCTTGGTTCAGAAGCGATTGGGTCCCTACGTGGTTGCCAGAATGTTACATGGCAGTGTCGAGGTGCTTGCTTTCCCAGGCCAGAGAACTGGCTCGTGAAGCAGCTGAATGATGAGCAAAGCCTGGTATATAAAGTAGGATTTATTAGAGAGAAAGGAAAGGCTACAGCTAGAGAACTGCAGCAGAGCCCAGAAGCCGGTAACTCGCTGCACAGGTGAAGGTTGGGGTGTTTATGGGCATTTCAACTCTGGGTTAGGTGGGTTTTTCTCCTTGGCCATGGATTCACAGGCTTTCTCAGGGAACTGGTTTGGTTTGCACCTTTATTGGGGGAAGGGAACAATCTTGAGAGCATTTTGCTCATCAGCCCTGTGGCAGATCTGTCACACTCTGTATCTCTCTTTTGGGATGCAGGAATGCAGGCTTCTAACTCCTCAGGATGCAGGAATGATATTGTCCTCCATAGGGGATGAAATACTCACTCATCTGCCTTAGGTCTCCAGACCCAACACTTGGAAAACACATTTAGCATATCCATCCATCAGTAGGTCCCAAGGACTCCTCTCTAGAGAAAATGTCTTCTTTACATTCTAGCAATATTCTTTCAAAAAGGACAGGTGATATCCAGGTAAAGACCACAGTGACACAAACAGAGTGAACCTATGAATGAATAATATGCAAGCATTGCAGGAAATATGAGAAACACAGCCAGGTGCCAGTGACTCACACCTATAATCCTAGCTACTAGGGAGTCAGAGATCAGGAGGGTCATGGTTTGAAGTCACCCCAGGCAAATAGTTTGGGAGACCCTAACTCGAAAAACCCAACAAAAAAAGGACCGATGGAGTGGCTCAATGTGTAAGCCCTGAGTTCAAGCCCCAGTACTACAAAAATAAGAAGGAAGGAAGGAAGGAAAGAAGGAAGGAAGTACTGGAAAGATCAGACACAATATTAAACATCCAGGGCTCCCCCCTCCCCCAGAAATGTTATACAATGTGTGGTCTCAGCAAACCAAAAGACTGAAGCTGGGGATTCTGATCCAACTCAAAAGTAAAAACAAAAACAACCGGGCTTGTTATGTTCACAAGCATACCAATTTGGTGACAAAAAAGAGAACAGAAACGTGAAGTGAGAAAAGACGGGGTACATTAGGAGATCTGATTGGAGGTCAGGGTAGGAGGAAAGGCAGTTCATCTCGGGGTGTGCCTCCATTACACAGAACCTCAGCCCTGCTCCTAATCCTGACTCTCTCGCGTACCACCATTTCCCAAGGTTCCCTGTTGCTAAGAGATTAACACCATGTTTTGTGGGCATGCACAAACAGGATGGGAGACTTGTGGTCAAGTAGAGGCAGTCAGGCTCTTGTGGTCAGAGACACCAGTCCTGGCTCCCATCATCTCCACCAAATCTAGGATCCTGGTAGTACCCCAGTGCCCAGCTTTTGGCCCTCAGCCAGGCTCAGACCTGATGACAACACAGTCCCTGGAAATCTGCATGGTGGTGGGGGGGGGTGGTCAGGGAACCCAGGGCAGACACAGGTGACAGCATACTTTTATTACAAGGATTCTGCATGATTGGTGGGTAGGGTCAGGGGTCCCAGGATAGACATAGAGGCAGCGTGGTCTTAGCCCAGGGAATCTGCATGGTGGGAGGTGGCCCACGGTCGGGATCCCACAGGTTTCGGTCACTGCGCGCCCGCGCGCAGCGGCTCCGCGCGCAGCGGCTCCACCCGCAGCCACAGCCCGCCCTCTGCGCGCAGGATCAGCTCAGGCTTCCTGCGCGGCTCCGCGTGGTCGGGCAGCACGCGGAAGCGCAGCAGCGTCAGCGCCAGCGCCACCTTCATCTCATTCAGGGCAAACGTCTGTCCGATGCAGTTCCTAAGGGCAGGTGAGGGGATGATTGCTCGGGACCCCACACGAGCCCCAAGGCCCAGGCCAGGTTCTCCACACCACTTGGCCAGACCCAGGAGCAGCGAAACCCTAACATGCCTTGGGACCACATGTGGGCGCCCATATCCCCAGACTGGCCCACCCCAGACTCCAACCTCAGAGCAGCAGGTGGAGAGGGGCTCTGAGTGCCCGGCTGATCTAGCCAGCCTCATCCTCCAAATCTTGTCGCGGGATCTGCTTAGGTGAGGAGGGAAGAACACCTAGGACACTGACCATCCCATCCCAATCTCCCTTGTCCACTGTCAGCCTAGACCCCCGCCCCATCACCACAACCCCACCTCACCCCCGCTGGTCTCACCTGGGCCCCGCAGAGAAGGGAATAAAAGCCAGAGGTGACCTGTCCTTGATGTTTTCTGGGTCGAAGCGGAAGGGGTCATAGACCTGCAGGAGAAAAAGGGACAAGGCTGCAGGGTGGGGTCTCCAGCACAGTCATGGACAGACATGTGTGCCTCTGCTGGGGAAGAAGAGGTCTGATTTTCAAAATCTGCCCTATTTCTTAGAATTCAGGGTCTGCACCACAATTTCTAGTAGGGACAGAAGCAACACCTCCGGGTCCGGCCACACTGTTGGGTTGTGATGGGTCCCGAAAATACTGATGATGCAGATAACACCTGTGGGAGAGAAGGGTGCTGTCAGAACAAGGCCTGGCTGCCTGAAACTCACGTGTTGTCCAGGAGGCTCCTTCCCCGACACAGGCACCTTTGGGATGACCCTGTCATCAGGAAGAACAACGTCCTGGGTACAGCTGCGAGAGATGTGGGTGACCGGCGGATGCAGCCGCATACTCTCCTTGATGCACATGGTCAGGAAGGGCAACTGGGCCAGGTCGTCCCTGTGAAAACCCCCTCCTCTTAACAAGTGTCCAGGAAGCAAAACAAAGGCCACCCACACCTGTGTTGCCTAGCAAAATCTTTTCTCCGGCTACTAAAATAAGCCACAGATGGATCAAATATGTGCCAATTAGAAAGTGTCCCAACTTGAGACTATTCTTCCACTTAATAGGGAGTTCCTAGAAGGCAGGTCCCTGGGCTGGGTCCTTCCCAGGTGTCTAGCGCACAGAATGGGGTTGGGCACAGAATTGGGGATCAGAGGGCACTGTGGAAGAATTTGCTGGATGAGACTGGGTGACTGGATGATGCAGAATCAGGACCACAGAAACAAGACTTTTACTCCCTGGTGTCCCCTGTGAATCCATGGCCAGGACACTAGGGTAGGAACTCAGTAACAGAAGGAAAATAAAACAGTCCCAGGAAAAGGTGTTTGAAAAAATGCTCTTTGAGAGAAGAGGATTGGAGAAGAAGGGAAGTTTGTATACTGAGCACATGCAAAGTGGCATTATCTGCCCTCATATTGTCATCTTGTCACTAATTCTCTTTTTGCCCCAAAGTCTACAACACTTCCCTTGCTGGTCAGCCTGGTAACCGGGGCCTGCCTCTGAACTCCATTCCTATTGCCACCAAACAATAAAGGAAAAATTCACAAACGCTTCCTTTCCCCACCTGAGAGCCAAGTCAATGAGAGGGGCTGGAGAACAGGCCACCAGGACCTGCACTCACCATTCGATCTCCTTAGGGTCTCGGTCCCTCAGGAGCTCCCTCACCTCCTGTCGGCAGCGCTCCTGGTATTCTGGGTGCCTCGCCAGGTTGTAGAGGACCCAGGAGACACCACTGGCTGTGGTGTCATGACCTGAGGGGCAGCCATGGAGACAAGGGTGTCTGGGCTGTTCAGTAACAGAGAGGATGAACAGATTCCAGGGATTAAAGCCACCAGGCAGAGTGAAGCATGAACAGAATGGAGTGATCCAGGATCTAACCCACCACATCCCTGGGATAGAGAGACCCTGACACCTTGGTTGTCCCACACTAGGACCCTCACCCTCAAACATGAAAGTGTCAGCTTCTGCTCTTATGTCCTCATCTGACAGCATCTTCCCATCTTCATCCTGGAAAGAAGGCAGGCCTCTCCATACCAAACCCAGGGCTCCTGATTAAACTGAGACAATCTCTGTAGATCCATCTTCCAAGCAGAAACATAATCTTCCTTATCTGTCCACCTCTTTTAGTTGCCATCACCAGAGTCTCCACCCCACAGTCATTGTCCCCTGGCAGCCTTGCCTCCTGTTTGGTCCCTGCTTGTAGAAATCAATCACCCTTGAAAATCATCGTGTTTCTACATGGTGAGGGATTCCTGAGAAGGAAGTTACTGGTAACTGGGTTTACAGGATGACTGAATGGCAATTTCTCTTGGAAGTTAAGATTAATCATTACTTCAAGAAATTTGGCCCCTTATCAGGTGCTCAGTACAGAGACTCTTTCTTATCTCCTCTGAAGGCATTGCATTTGCTTTGCAAATAGACTTTACCTTTGCTCCAGTGAACTTGTTTATATTCCAGAACAAAATCTGTCTCCTTATTCTCTCCCTCTCCATTTTGCCCCCATCTCTCCCTCTATTTCTCTCCTTGGAGGGAAGAAGACACTTACATGCCAGCTTTTCTATAGAAGCTCCAGGACTTACAATGTGCAGGTGTTACTTGTAGAGTAAACCCTGCTGCACATACAGAAAAAAAATATGGCATTCCCTGTTGTAGAGGTGTTGTGGGAAACGGCGAGGGAAACAGTCATCACTGATGCCATTTTCACAGGAAGCAGGGAGTTTACTACACTAGCAGACTCAGGGAGATAATTTCTCATAACCCTGAGCCCCAATCTGTGTCAGGAGCTGGGTTAAATACTTACAGAGTTTGTCCCCCAACCCCCTACAGAATGTGGTCACAGTTACAGGAAACACTGCAGAGCTAGCTGGAGGCTTGCAACTTTGCAGAGCTAGGAGAAAACTGCTTGTAGACTCAGAGTGGGGAAACCAAGGTGACTACCAAACACAAGTAAATCCCAGGAAAATAGCCAAGCTGGCCCCAACAGGGAGAGTTGGGAATGGGAAACCATTGCTACAATCCCACCCTGGCTACTGTTACTGCTGTGAGTAACCAGGAGGCTGCTAGGATCATGGATCCATATAGTACTTCCATACACTAACTTATAACTTATAAATAAGTGACACCTCAGGTTCTTTGTAGTATCAGACTTAGCAAGTCCCTGGGTCTGGATTCCAGAGTCATCACTAAAATCTGTCACTGGAATGTCCCACCTTCTTTAGGCACCTTCGATGTTGCCACAGAACCCTCTGCATCAAACCCAAGTGATGTGACCTGACATTTGACCTCAAAATCCATTCTACCTCTGGAGAAGCCCACCTTGGTCAGCAGCAGCACATCAATGAAGTCCAATGTCTTGGACTTGGCCTTGGCCAGGAGGAAGTCATCAAGACCCTGATCAGGGAGGGTATGGTGTCGTTCCTGGATGACAGCATCTGTGAATTTATGCACCAGGCGGCAGGCTTTACGGAAGCACCATCCATCGGGGGTGAGCTGGTACAGGAAGTCCATGCGCAGAAGTGGGTTCCGGGCCCTTTTTATCACTAAGGCACTGAGATTCAAGATGGCGGCAATGTATTCACTGGGTTTCCTGTAGGATGAGAGCATAAAGGGAGCAACCACTTAATATTTCTGAAGCCCAACGAGTACTTCACAGCAGCAGGTGGGAGGCACCACCCATCAGGATGAGAGCCTAGAAACAGATGGCCCCACCCAGGGCACAGAGTGGACATTACATTCCTCTCCTACCCAGCATCCAGCTCTGCCCCACCTCCTTCCTGAAACTGTCTACCCTGCCCAGACCTTATTTTTCTCCAAGTGGTCCCTGGCCAGGTTCCACCCTGTTTTCGCATCCACTCTTAACTCCATCTCGTGTCCACGTGATGGTCAGTGGTCCACAGAGCTCTACTCTGATCATGCCCACCTTCAGCTCTGCTATAGTTTGCGAGAATCTCCCAAAAGACCATGGGTGAAGGCATGGTTGGCACCCTGTGTGGCTGTTTGAGGTGGTAGAACTTCAGGAAGGGTGGTGTAGTGGGAGGAAGTTAGGTGATTGAGTGACATGGTCTTGAAGGGGACTCTCTCTCTCTCTCTCTGTGTGTGTGTGTGTGTGTGTGTGTGTGTGTGTGTGTGTGTTCCTGCTGCCATGAGTTGAACATAGGCACTGCTCACCATAATATACTTACTTGCCACTGTTCCAAAGGCAAGAACTCTAACAGACCATGGACTGAAGCCTCTAAAATTATGAGCTAAAAGAAAGCTTTCCTCTTTTTAAGTTGATTTTTTGGGTAGTTTTTAATCACAGTAAGAGAAATCCAACTAACAAAAGCTCAAACACTTTAGGAGTTCCGTAAAAACTCAATGTGAAGTTTACCCCTTTGCCTGGCTTTTCAATGTCCTGAAAACAGTGACTGCCTATGCAGCCAAGCTTATTTCCAAAGTACCTCATCACTGCCTCTCACACCTTTAGCTCATTGTGCCTCCATGTCTTTTCTAAAACAATGCCACCTGTCCTGAAGGAACATTGACACTCTCCCCTTCCAAGTCTTTCGAGGCAAGTTCGGACCCACCTCCTCCAGGAATCGTTCAGTTCCTTGGACAAGACCTCTTTTCCTTTGGGTCCATGGCCCAGGTTCCCAATTTGAGGGTAAGAACTCACTCCTGACAGTTGCTCTTGAAGCCGAAGATGCATTTCTGGAGACTGTCCAAGGTCATGAGGCTGACATGCTCAAACATGTCCAGACGGTTCTTGCCCTCAGAGATCAGATGCTGCCACTTGGCCTGGCCAGAGAAGGGACATAGGTGTAGGTCTTGGCTCCTTGAGCCTCTCTCCAACCCCAGCCACCAGGATGTACTGCCTAGAACCAGTCTCCTGGTACCTCTTTGTCCTCTGCCCCAAGTACTGAACCCAAGCATAACCAGGATTGGGTGAGAGTGGAAGCTGTTAATATAGCATATGAAAACCCATAGGCTGGGAGTCATGAGTCCTGTGTTAGAGCCCCAGCTCTGTCTTCCATGCCAGGCACTCTGTCAGCTATTTGCCCTCCCCCATGTCCCATGTGTTAAGATTTCATCAACAAGCAAGTTGATCTCCTTTAGTGTTAGATAAACCAGAATGGAACCCTTGCTTCACCATTCCTAGCTTATTTACTAGATAGAAAAATACAGGCAGGTTTCCTAAAGATTTTTGATCCTCAGGTTCACCATCCATAATGGGGTAAAAAAATAATCTCTACCTGAAGGATTGTGAAAATAAACTGGACAGCATAGATGGTGGAATTGGCACATGGAATCTTTTCTGGTATGTCTTGACTGTTTGATCAATGTTAGCTGTCGTTATCGTCATTGTAATAAATTGATTTCTAAATATCCCATACATCCCCTGAGGATACCAAAAATTCATGACCCTGATGACCTTAACCTGGGACATTACTCAGAGTTGTGTTTTCAGGGAACAAGGGTGAAAGAGCAGGGAATGTTTAGTCCTGACAAACATCATACTTACTTCTGCTTGGTGTAAAAGCAAATTCCCGAAGCCTAAAGTTACTCCTTGAAATGCAATGTAAGACATGCACAGGACTGAACTGAATCCCATCATGTCATTCCCATTGCATTTGGGTGACTTAAAGAAAGGATCAAAACCAGCAATATTTACATGTTGCTTTCTATGCCATGAGGATTTGACTGCCCCTTGTCTCTGACCCATTCTCTGGCAGAATCCATGAGATAGAAAGCACTTATTTAATCAACTTGCATTAGGAAAAAAATCTTCATCCTCAACTCTTTTTCCTATACTCACACCTTCTGCAAAGTGATTTTCAACACCTCCCATTAAAAGTTTGAGCCCATTTTAGTGTCCTCCCCCCTCTGATTCTGTGCTGAACTTCTGGCTTTGGCCAACACAATGTGAGGAAACTGATGAGGCGGTAACAATTAAACCTAATGCTTAAGAGGATTTCAGTCTCCTCTCCCTCTCACAGGACACTCTTTCTGCCATGTGAATGACTAGAGGATGCCTTCTGAAGGGAGAATTATAGGGATATTAATACATTTGTTCCATCTGAGGTCAACTTAAATCAGCCTGAATTTGACCAAGCCCCAAAAGTGAGCCAGGATCAGCCAAGCTGCCCACCTGACCCACAACTCCTCATATCCCATGAGTGAGCCCACTCCACTAGTCCAGAAGAACCAGTCAATGGACCTACAATCTTGTCAGCAATTGTCAGCCCTTAAACCTTCAATCCAATGAGTTTGGGATTATCTTGTTACTCAAAGATAGTTTCTGTGCAATCTGCATCACCACTGAGTTCAGTTTACAGGGCCTCTGTGAGAGAAATGTAGATACTAACCCCTTCTGAGCATCTACCAGATGCCAGGTGTGTGATTGCATTATTATATGTGTACCACACTTGAGGTAGACATTTTTATCCTTATTTTTTAAAATGAGAAAACTGGGGCTCATAGAGAAACAGCATGGCCTCAAAGTAACCCATCTGAGCCAGAACTGTAGATGAGATCTGTCTGTGGTCCCTTTGTCCACCAAGCTTCAGCTAGGCCCGGAATTCAAGGGACTCACATGCATGACATTGGTGCTGTCATTGAAAATCTTCACATAGGGCTTCAAGATGTTGAAGTGGAAGGCTGGAGTCAGCACACGACGATGACGGCTCCACTTGTCACCGGAACTCAGCAAGAGCCCATCTCCTGGTTGGGCAGCCATGGGCACTGAGCAAGGCCACACCTTTACCTGACCTCAAGGCTGTCCCCACCCCTTTCACCTGCATTACTCACCCAGCCAGGGATTCAAGATGTTTCTGATTACCGTGTCCTTGGGTGCCACAGCAGCTGTCATGAAGGAGAGTCATCAGGGGCCATGAAAGGGATAGGGATAGTGACTGTGCACCAGGGATCTGCACTTCTCCCTCCAAACCCAGCACAGGAGGAAGGGGAACAAGGACATAGGGAAGAAGAGTGAGTCCAGGAGAAAGAAGGCCAATCTGTAGCAGCAAGTAGAGTCAAGGCTCAGCATGCCTTGACATGTCTCTTACATGGTCTACTCCACCAAGCACAGCACCAGGACCACTACAAAGGCCTAGGACCTTGTTAGTCCCAGCATCTCTCTGACATCTCCTGAAATACACCTGGGACATGTGACATGGACATCTATGAGTTTACATGTCATAAGGTGGCCTCAGCAAACATGACCTTCCCTGACAAGCCACCATGTACTATGAAACAGTACAGAGGTAGGCTGACAGATCTCAGCATGCAATACACACAGGAACCAGATAGGATGTAAAAATGGTCTTATTATCTAGGTGTGGCACTATATGACTGTAAGTCTAGCGCTCAGAAAGCTGAGGCAGGAGGATCTCCAGTTTGAGGCCAACTTGGGCTCAACTTGGACCCTGCCTCAAAAATAAATGTTCCAATCATTTTCCAGATTTGGCCCACATATGATGCAATGTGGCCACTGATGTCATTTATATGTACTTAATTCCAGCCTTAAGCAAGACCCAAAGTCTCAGTCACATTCAGAGGATCTCTGAATTACAAATCTTAGGCACCTCCAAGTAGGACTCAGATATGACCACTGGAAAGAAAACAGTCTCAAACTGCACATGAAACAAGAACGAGACAAAACTGGACATGACCCAAAAATCTAAGCTGGCAGTTTAGCTGCAGGCATGACCTTCTTCATATGATCTCAGGTGTTAATCTTGTATAACCAGGTACAAAATATACCATGTGCAACCAGGATGAAACTGTAAATATGACAAGATATGGCCTTGCTGCAAGTGTGGCCCTACAGAAGACATCATGCCGAATGTTTGAGACTCAAGATGACATGACCACAGGTGAGAAAGAGGCAGGGGTATCACTGCCACAACCCTTCCGGCCTGCACTTGGGTCACCCAACCAGCTGGAGGCAGCTTAGAGACCTCAGCAGCAGACAGCTGGGACAATGCAGTGTCCACGTTGAGTGAAGAACCCAGGCATGATGGAGGTGAGGTAAAAGATGTGGATGAACACAAGCCAGGGTACCTCCCACCAGTAGCACATCTCCCCAAAGGTACTCTCCAGACCCTAGGCGTACTAGACAACTGCTTGCAAGCTCTAGACTTGCAAGTTAGAACTGGTGCCTGCTCCTCTAGGTTGCCAGAGAGAAGGACTGCAGTTCAGGGAGCCATCCAGTGCCTGGAAATTTTGTCTAGATGGTCGTCTAAATTATGCCTGGGCTCCCTCCCAACACCTTCAGAACACAACCATCCAGGTCACTCAGTCACAAGAATTCCTTCCCAAATACCACATTCCCACAGGCCTCTCCTTCCCATTTCCAGATTAAAAGAATGAGGCTCTGAAGGGTTATGTATTTGCCCATACTCTCCTAAATAGTAAGTGGCCTGCCTGAGGCCTGAACCTGGATCCTTCCGAGTCTACAGCCTGAGTCTTTACCATTCCGCTGTTTGTGTCCCCCAAAATAATGGCACTGGAAGCATCACGCCTACTAACTCTTAGCAACCAGAGTGTGTGAGGACTTTGGCCTGTGATTCATGCCAGGACAATTAAAGAGAACAGGCTATTTATAGGAACTCTGGGGGAAAGGCGAGCTCTCCCGTGGAACTGAACTTCTGTGACTCCATGAAGGAAGTGCTGCTCTGCAAGGAAAAGTGATGCTGAGGGAGGTACCGATGACAGGAGACAGATCCCTAATGACACTGTTTGAGCTCTAGGTCATGCTTTGCCTGAATACCACCTATCTGGACAAGCCAATGAACAGATTCACTTTCTTTGTTTACACCACACAAGGTTGAATTCCACCACTCACATCTGAAAGAAACCTTGCCAGCCAGAGAGAGCCAGGGACCTTCCCCCAGTTACCTAGTATTTTGGTGTCAGAACCATGGTTTCTGTGGGACACAGTGTCTGTGGGCACCACTTTTCTCCCAAGCTCAGCCAGGCCTGTTCAAGGATGGGAATGTCACAGGGCAGGGGAAGAGAGCCAGGCTAGGGTGAGGTGTCCTAGAGAGGCTTAGAATAAGGGAAACATAGGAACCCAGCCTGGCATGTTTGGATAGCATGGGAATAGCTTCTGGGCACTGGTGGTCTATGCCTGAAATCCTAGCTACTTGGGAGAATAGATCAGGAGGATCACAGTTCAAAACCAGCCTGGGTGAACAGTTCATGAGACCCTGTATAGAAAATACTCAACTCAAAACAAGGATGGTAGAGTGACTCAAATGGTAGAGCACCTGCCTAGCAAGCTCTAATGTCAAAACCCTAGCGCTACCCCCAAAAATAACAAATAAATAGCTGCCCACAGGAGTCATAAGCATGCTCATTGGTCTGGGCCTGGGATGAGCATGGCTTATGTAATCGTGGCAGACCCCAAGATGCTCAGAAGAGCAGGTGGATCTGAGTGACAGCTATGTAGGGGAACAGTGGAAAGGGAGCTGTGAAAGACGGAGAAGGCTAAGAGAGAAGAGGAGAGAAGGAGTGGTTGGGCTACTGCAGGACCACACAGAAGGTGGGGTAGGGACTGCAAATCCTCTGATGTACCATGGCGTCCACTGCCAGCTCCCCATGGGTACCTGAAGCACTGAGAACAGGTCGGATGGTGTCCGGGTGGCACAAGGTGATGATAGGGATAATGGGACCCATCCATATCATAAAGCACTGGGGATAGGTATTAACCAGCTGAGTCATTTTCTTCATCCCCTCTTCCGTGGGAGGGGCCTGCAAGCAGAACAAGAGTGGTCATCTCTGATGGATTGTTTCAGGAGTCAATCTGTCTGGGCAAAGGGACACCTCTTGGCCGATGAAACAGAATGGCTGTGTCTGTGATTGTGTTTCCAAACAAAACACCTAGACCCATCCTCCCATCCTCCACAGGTGGCTGGCATCATCCAGTCCATTGATGATGCAGAAAAAAACAAAAAGGCAGAGGAGGGGAAAACTGGCTCTCACTTCTGGAGCTGGGACCTCCATCTTCTCCTTCCCCCACACATCAGAACCCCGGTCTTTGAGCCTTTGGACTCCAGCACTTACACCAGCAGTCCCTCCCTTCCCCCAGATCTCAGACCTTTGGTCTCACACTGAATTCATTGCAACGCCAGCTTCCTTAGTCCTCCAGCTTCCAGATGGCATCCTGTGGGACTTCTTTGTCTCCATAATTACAAAAGCCAATGCCCATACAAGAATATCCTCCCCTCTCTCCATATTTATGTGTCTTGTGTAGACATATGTATGTACACATGCATATATGCACACATATGCAAATGCATAACTACATATATGGGCATGTGCTACTTAATGAAATTTCTGTCAAGGACACAATACACAATATAACCTTAGACCCCTAAGAACACAACACAGTTAATTAAGGTGGGCATGGTGGCACCCAACTGTAACCCTAGTGGTTAGAATATGGAAGCAGAAGGAATTGTGAGTTTGAAGTAATACTAAACTACAAAATGAGATCCTGCCAAAGAAAGAAACAAAGGAAGGAAGGCAGGGAAGAAAGAAAGAAAAAAGGGAAGGAAGAAAGAGAGGGAAGGAGGCAAGGAAAGAGGGAGGGAGGAAAGAAAAATAAAAAGAGAGAGAAAGAAAGAGAATATAAAGTGAAAAATTCCTGGGACCTAGAATTTTTTCTATACTTTTTCTCTGGTTATAGACACAAACACCATAGCGTTACAATTGCCTCCGACATTCACAACAGTAACATAGTGTACAGATTTGCATGCAAGGAACTGTACGTAATACCACTTAGTCTGGGTATGCCAGGCTACAGCTAGGAGTATAGTAATGAGCTTTTATGACCATACTCTTTGATGTTAGCACAACAAAATCACCTCCTGAGGAATTTCCTGGAATGTGTCACTGTAGTTAAGCAATGCATAACAGTGCTTATATGTATGTGTACATGTATGTGCATGTGTGTATTAGTGTGTCATTGGATCTGTTTCTCTAGGGAACCCTGACTAATGCAACTTTCCAGGAGGCTCAGCAGGTCCCTCATTCAGTCTCTGAAGGTGACACAGCCCCTGCAGTATACACAAAAGCAAACATGATCATACACACATCTACAGGTAGAATATGTTGGCAATAGTGGAACCACACTATGGAATTCTGGGAAGGAGGGAAAGGAAAAAAGAACAATAGTCAACAATATTGAAATACCTCACATCTGTGCAGGCAGAGGACTTAACCGTATGTACTGAAATGGGAGGTGGGATGGAAGGGGTAAGGGATTGTAGCAGAGGGGGTTGAACTGACCAAAGTAAAGCATAGTCACAGCTGGGATACACTGAGAAACCCCTTTGAACATCGGCATTGGAATTACTAATGAAAGACAGGACTGTGAAACAGGAAAGTGGAGTGGGGCATGGGAAGGGGGTGATTGGAGATGAAAATGAAGGAATAGGGCCAATGGGCTTCATATACATAAAGGAAACAGAACCATGAAACCTCTTGTAATTGCTTTGAGTGGGACAGGAAAGGGGTGAAAGAAGGGAGATGGCACAATGTAAGGCCACTCAGAATTGTCACAACAAATCCCCCCTTGTACAATGAATATGTGCTAATAAAAATGGAAAATTAATTAATTAATAAAAAGGTGGAAAAAAGGACAGTTTCTGAGAGGATGTGAGGGGCCGGCTTTTGTGCAGGTTGAGCAACAGGCTTCCCTGGCACATCTTGGGGGAGAAGAGTAGGATAAGAGATTGGCGCTCCAGAAAGGGAGGAGGGAGACAGCCATGCCTCTCTTCTGGCCCAACTGTGCCCTGTGTGCGTGTGGTGGGGGAGGGAGATCAAAGATCATTCTGGTGGAAAACCAGAGGGCCAGAGATGGGCAGACACAAAGACATGGTCCAGGCAGAGAGCAGACCCTGGATAGCGCCCCTCAGAAGGCCTGAAGCCCAGCACTGGAGACTGTGGGACACCAGGAGTCCTCACTCTGAGTAGTTTGCACTTGGGTCCCCTCATGGCTGCACCAAAGTGGGGAAGATAGGAAGGAAATGAACCCAAAATAGGCTAGGGGTGGAAGTACAAGAATGGGAGAAAGGTTTAGGATTGCACAATAAGGACCCCAGGCCACACCATACCCACAACTCCCTAAACCTTGACACCCCAGACCTGCCCTGCTGTTGACTCACCATGTGCAGGTGACCAAGGAGCCAGTTCTGTTTGGGGGGCTGAGGGAAACTTTGGAAGTGACGAGCGTTTTCATAGAAGGTGTAGATCTGGGTCAGCACACGAGCCAGGAGCCAGGAAGCCCCAAACAGCAGCAGGAGCAGCCATGGGGAGGCTGCCACCGACTCCAGTCCCAGCCAGGACAGCTGTAGCATCCTGCAGGGCAGATGGACAGAGTGATCGCCTGGGGCCCAGGAGAAGGACAGGGATCTCCAGGGACACAGGACAGGGGCAGGGGCTGTGAGTTCTAGGGGAGGAAGGTCAGGTAGTAGGAAGGAGACCCTGAACAATCAGGAGAAGAGGCAGTAAGAGGGGAGAGGAAAGAGGAATATGAAGAGGAGGTGAATAGGAACAGGAAGAGGAGGAGAAAGAGGAGGAGGAGGAGGAGAACAAATAGGACAAATCAGTTAAAGTCCAGACCTGCCTGAACCATGGGAAGTTGCCAGGGCTGTTTTCCAGAAACCATCAGTGTTCTGGGCAAGCTGTCTCCCTGAAGTGGATCCAGCTTTGAGCAGTGTCCTCATTCCAAGCCAGGATGCTCCAACCAGTACCTTCTGTCAGAAGCTGATTCTGTCAGAATCAGCTTCACCTGATCCTGACTCTCCACCTCCCCAAGCCCAGGACCTTCTCTCAGGGTCAGCTTGTCCCCCAAAACCTCCTCATCTCTCCTGTGGAACTTCCTTGTCCCTAATCCCTGACCTGGAGGAGGCTGAGGGGGACTGGTATGAGGTTGTTCAGCCAATCCCCTGAAGGCCGCACTGCCTCCTTTTTTCCTGGGCAGGCAGCCAAAACATGGGAGTGGGGCCAGCCCTTGCAGAGGGGAACCAATTCAGGACCACAAGCACAGGCAGGAAGCACACCTCAGAATTCTGCACTTTCTGTTCAAGTCAGGGGCCAAAGAAACACTGGGCCCCCGAGTTTACAGCACCCCTGCATTTCCAGGGCCAAGGGATGGCAGGTAAAAACATGAAATTGGAGTTCTAGGGATAGCAGACGAGGGCTGGACCAAGCCTTGTCTCAAGACATCTCCCGAGATCTTGACTAAATTGGGCTGGGAATTCCTGGTGCACCATTTCTCCTGCAGAATTAGGAGGCTCTGGGATTTGAGCCTCTGTCCATCAGCTGCTCAGTGTAGCAAGGGTTCAAGTCCTGCCTCTGAGCAGCCCAGGACCCAGGTGAGACATGAATTTCAGGAAGAGAGAATCTGGGCTTGCAGAGGATTTCTCAGGACAAATTCAATAGATAAAGAGCCCAGCTAGAGCAGCACATCTGGAGGGCTCTAGTAGAGCTGAGAGGTGGAGGGAGAAGAGAAGGTGCAGGTAGGGAGACCCAGAGAGGTACTAGGCAGAGTATGAGCACAGGAAGGCAAAGGGGACGGCAAAGTCAAGTGTTCCTGAGTGGAATCTCATTTGGCCACAACCTTCTCTGACTGAGCAAAGCAGTACCTCCTGGGCTCAGTCTTCCCTTGTAGTAAATGGGATGTCTAATGAGAGCCTTAGAGGGAGACAGAGGAGGGCTCCATAGAGAAGAGAGCCCCAAAAAGAGGGAGTGAAGGAATGCTCAGCAAATACTACCAGAGCTGCTGTGAGCCAGGCCTCTGTTCTGTGCAAAAGATGGTAGGGAAAGTACTTCTCTCCATAAAACATGCCTACTGTGTGCTTCTCATAAAGCATGTACATTGCCTGCCAAGGGCCCTGTGTACTGAAGGCCTGGTACTCTACATAAAGCCTGTCTACTGCATGCTGCTGCTGTAACTAAAGTGTACCTACTGTGTGCCACCTGCTCTAGCATAAATGTGCTTGCTGAGAGCCACCTGCTCTACATAGTGTGCCTACTGAATGCCACCTCCTCTAAATAAATGTCTGATGAATGCCATTCTCTCCATAAAGTGCACCTACTGTGTGCCACCTGCTAACATAAAACTTATATACTGAATGTCAACTGCTCCACATAAAGTGTTTTGCTACGTGCCACCTGCTCTACATGGTGTTCCTACTGAATACCACCTGCTCTAAATAAGTGCATCTGCTCCATGCTGCCTGTTGTACATTTATGTAGCCACTGTGCACTGCCTCCTCTACATAAAGCTTGCCTACTATGTGCTGGATCCCCTACTTAAACTGTGCCTGCTTATTACCCAATGTCAACCTCCATCACAGGTCTATAGTTTCCCACTACTCTCTCTCAGCTCTCTGGGTCAGAGCTCTGGGGATTGGGTGGAGACCCAAGTAATGGCAGGGAAGGTGCCCATTTAACAGAAAAGCAGACTGAGGCTCAGAGATGGTGAGACTTTGTCTAAATTGCAAAGCTCAAAGGAATCCAGGTCTGTCGAACCCTGAGCACAAAAATCCTTCCTTCCATGCTGCTTTCCCTACCCCATTTGATGGGGACAATGCTGTATTAGTACAGGGACATTTATACAGGTAGGATCTCAGGAGATGTGACTTCCCCAGAAAGGAAACATTTTGAGGCCCTTTGATCACCACCTTGCTCCTGCTCAAAACTCAAGAGACGCCATGCAATAAATCACATGTTCCCTCCTGGCCTCCTGGATTATGTCCAGAATTGCTCTGTGGGGTGGTCTCAGGTGAGGGGACTTGAAGAATCAGACTCCTGGCAGATCAGCTGAGAAGAGCTGGAGAAGACAATACCCTTGATTTGGTAGGGCGTTAGGGACACCTCAAACTTCCCTCTATTCTAACTACCCCCTTTCAACAGAGCCGGACAGGTCATCAAGTGGCTGGTCCTAGAGTCTCAGCGGGGTGTCATGTTCCCTCCTCCAGAATCCCCAGCACAACCCCTCATATACACAGGCTTCAACTAATGGCCAGACTCCTGGGAGCCTGCTGTTCCCATACCTTCCAGCAGAGAGAGCATCCTCCACGCTCCCACTGTGAACAGGCCCCACTGTAAACAGACTTAGGGACCCACACTTTTCTCTTTCTCTCTCTCTCTCTCTCTCTCTCTCTCTCTCTCTCTCTCATTCATTCACCACTGTGATCCTTGACGGAATCTCAAAGCCTGTTTGGAGTGGGGGAGGAGACATTGAACACCCCAAAAAGAGAAGACTATGGAACAGTTTGTTCCATCTTGAAGCAAAGAATGGAGAATGAGCTTGTGAGAAACTGAGGCCAAGGGGTAGATTGCTGTGAGAAAGGAAATGTCATTATTAGTAATCCAATGGGACAGATACCACCTGGTCAGTACACGAAAATCAATCCACACTTAGGTGCTGGTGGCTCACGCCTATCATCCCAGCTACTCAGGAGGCAGATATCATGATGATTGTGGTTTGAAGCCAGTCTGGGAAAACAGTTCTTGAGACCCTATCTTGAAACATTACGAGAAAAGGGTTGGCCGAGCGATTCAAGTGGTAGAGCACCTGCCTAGCAAGCCTGAGGCCCTGAGTTCAAACCACACTACCACCAAAAAAAAAAAAAAGAACAGGGTTTCATGGACTCCACTTCATAGAAAATTGTCTTAATAACATTCTACAAATATCCTCTCAAATAGGACAGGTGATACCTATGCAAAGACATTAACAACACAAAGATAGTGACCCCATGAGTGAAAATGAACAAATATTACAGAAAATCTAAGAAATACATCAGACACTATAAAATAGCAAGGACTGCCTCAGTGAGGTGTCACACAATTGCTGGTCTCAGCAACCCAAAAGACTGAAACAGGAGGATCACCTAAGCCCAGGAGTTTGACCCAGCGCTGGGCTACATAGCAAGAACCCAACTCAAAAGCAGCCCAACTCAAAAAAATCCCACTTGTTTTTTTTTTTTCCTTTTTCTTTTATTATTCATATGTGTATACAAGGCTTGGTTCATTTCTCCCCCCTGCCCCCACCCCCTCCCTTACCACCCACTCCGCCCCCTCCCTCCCCCTCCAATACCCAGCAGAAAATATTTTGCCCTTATTTCTAATTTTGTTGTAGAGAGAGTATAAGCAATAATAGGAAGGAACAAGGGTTTTTGCTGGTTGAGATAAGGAGAGCTATACAGGGCATTGACTCACATTGATTTCCTGTGCGTGGGTGTTACCTTCTAGGTTAATTCTTTTTGATCTAACCTTTTCTCTAGTACCTGTTCCCCTTTTCCTATTGACCTCAGTTGCTTTAAGGTATCTGCTTTAGTTTCTCTGCGTTAAGGGCAACAAATGCTAGCTAGTTTTTTAGGTGTCTTACCTATCCTCACCCCTTCCTTGTTTGCTCTCGCTTTTATCATGTGCTCATAGTCCAATCCCCTTGTTGTGTTTGCCCTTGATCTAATGTCCACATATGAGGGAGAACATACGATTTTTGGTCTTTTGGGCCAGGCTAACCTCACTCAGAATGATGTTCTCCAATTCCATCCATTTACCAGCGAATGATAACATTTCGTTCTTCTTCATGGCTGCATAAAATTCCATTGTGTATAGATACCACATTTTCTTAATCCATTCGTCAGTGGTGGGGCATCTTGGCTGTTTCCATAACTTGGCTATTGTGAATAGTGCCTCAATAAACATGGGTGTGCAGGTGCCTCTGGAGTAACCTGTGTCACAGTCTTTTGGGTATATCCCAAGAGTGGTATTGCTGGATCAAATGGTAGATCAATGTCTAGCTTTTTAAGTAGCCTCCAAATTTTTTTCCAGAGTGGTTGTACTAGTCTACATTCCCACCAACAGTGTAAGAGGGTTCCTTTTTCCCTGCATCCTCGCCAACATCTGTTGTTGGTGGTGTTGCTGATGATGGCTATTCTAACAGGGGTGAGGTGGAATCTTAGCGTGGTTTTAATTTACATTTCCTTTATTGCTAGAGATGGTGAGCATTTTTTCATGTGTTTTCTGGCCATTTGAATTTCTTCTTTTGAGAAAGTTCTGTTTAGTTCACTTGCCCATTTCTTTATTGGTTCATTAGTTTTGAGAGAATTTAGTTTTTTAAGTTCCCTATATATTCTGGTTATCAGTTCTTTGTCTGATGTATAGTTGGCAAATATTTTCTCCCACTCTGTGGGTGTTCTCTTCAGTTTCGAGACCATTTCTTTTAATGAACAGAAGCTTTTTAGCTTTATGAGGTCCAAAAATCCCACTTGTTATGTTTAATCAACACACTAATTTAGTAACCACAATAAGAATGAAGAAAGCTGAGGTTAAAAAATACCGGTATATTAGGGAATCAGTTTAGAGATCAGGGTAGTGCAAGTTGTAGTGCAACCAAGGTTTGTTTCCACAATGAAGTCTCAACTCTGCCCCTAATCCTGGTCCCTCTGTGCACAAACACCTCCCATGCTGCCTGTCACCTACAGGATAAAGTCCATGCTTGTGATTGGTGGGGGCAGGGGCAGGGTGGAGGGAAAACACTCATCATCAATGTGGGGTGTTGTGGCCACCCAGATGCAGTCAGGATCTTTGGCTCAGAGACATCAGTTCCCCCTCCCCTGACCCATGCCCACCCTAGCATCCCAACAGTTCCCCCAGCGCTCCCTCCCGGCGCTCAGTGAGGTTAAGGCACTGGTGACAACACAGTTTATTCCTGAGAAGCTGCATGTTGGATGGGTGAGGTCAGGGGTCCCAGGCCAGACACAAGACTGCAAGGTCTTGTCCCTGGAAATCTGCTTGGTGGGTGGGTGAAGTGAGAGGTCCCAGGACAGACAGACACACACACACACACACACACACTTGTAACAACAGCACAGTTTTATCCCAGGGAATCTGCATGGTGGGTGGGTGGGGTTTGAGGTCGGAGGGCAGACGCAGGTGACAGCGTGGTCTTATCCCTGGGAAGCTGCATGGTGGGTGGGTGCCCACGGTCGGGTCCCGCAGGCTGTGGTCACCGAGCGCCCGCGCGCAGCGGCTCCACCCGCAGCCACAGCCCGCCCTCTGCGCGCAGGATCAGCTCAGGCTTCCTGCGCGGCTCCGCGTGGTCGGGCAGCACGCGGAAGCGCAGCAGCGTCAGCGCCAGCGCCACCTTCATCTCGCTCATGGCGAACGTCTGTCCGATGCAGTTCCTGTGGACGGTGGGAGATCTGACTGCCCGGGACCCCACTCGGACCCCAAGGCACCGACCCAAGCCCGGGACACCGTCCCACCTGACCAGCCCTAGGGGCGGCGAGGGTCTAACGTTCTAGGACCCATTGTGGGCGCCCGTGTCCCCAAGCTTGACCCAGCAGACCCCAGTCCCCAACTCATAGCAGCAGGTGGGGAGCGGCTCTGAGCGCCTCACGGACCGCTCTGGTCTTACCCAGCCCCATTCTCCAAACCTTTGCCAGAACCTGCGTAGGTGAGGCGGACAGGACACCTGGGACACGGACCATCCCATCCCCCACCACTCTTTGTCCACTATCAACCCAGACCTCCGCCCTATCACCAAACCCTCCCCTTCCTCACCTGGGCCCTGCTGCAAAGGGAATAAAAGCCATAGGTGACCTGTTCTTAATGTTGTCTGGGTCAAAGCGGAAGGGGTCATAGACCTGCAGGAGAGGAGACAAGGCTGCTGGGTGGGGTCTCCAGCACAGCTAGGGAGAGACAGGTGTGCCTGTGCTGGGGGAGGGGAAGGGCTGATTCCTGCCACCTGTGGTGGACAAGAACTAGGGGAGAGAGCACCTCAGGATCCGGCCACACTGCTGGGTTGTGATGGACCCCGAAAATATTGATGATGCAGATAACACCTGTGAGAGAGGAGGGTGCTGTCAGCTCAAGGCCCCACTGCATGATGGACCCTGCTTTCTGCCCAGGAGGCCCCTACCCCTTAGGCTGCGGCACCTTTGGGGATGACCCGGCCATCAGAGAGCGCGACGTCCTGGCTACAGCAACGCGAGATGGCCGTGACCGGCGGATGCAGCCGCAGACTCTCCTTGATGCACATGGTCAGGAATGGCAACTGGGCCAGGTCGTCCCTAAGGAAACCCTCAACCCTTTAACAAGCATCCAAGGAACAAAATCTTTTCTCTTTTACTTTTTTGTGGTACTGGGGCTTGAACTCAGGACCTTCACCTTGAGCCACTCCGCCAGCATTTTTTGTGTTAGATATATTTGAGATAGAGTCTCGTGAACTATTTGGCTGTGCTGGCTTTGAACCATGATCCTCCTGATCTCTGCCTCCTGAGTAGCTAGGATTACAGTCATAATTACAGCACCATGGCGCCTACTAACCTTTTCTCCCTCTAATAAAATAAGCTTCAGATGGATAAAACATGTGAGAATCAGAAAAACAGAGATTTTGAAACAATTTAGCCAGCTGTCTTTAGATGCTTTTTCTGAGGCAATGGCAACATCCAAACACCCGCCATTTAAAAGTTTAAAATTTTGTATAAAAATAAATATTCCTTATGCCCAGACAGAAAAAATCAAATGCAACAAGAAAGAAACAAAATAAACAGATCTAATGGATTTGTTCTTCTCTATCATCCTCTCTACCTCTGTTTCCCTCTCTCTCTCTATTTCTCTCTCCCTCCTATACTCCCAAGCCTTTTCTTTCTCCATCTCTGTATGCCTCTCTCTCCCACTGGCCATACAAACCATCTCTTTTTCTCTCCTCTCATTTTCTTTACTGTCTTCTCTTTGCTCCTCCTCCTCCTTCTCTCTCTGCTCCCTTGGCCCAGACGTTCTTTTTGATCTCCATCACTGTTGCCCAACTGCACACAAATATCTCCTGAGCATCATTCAGGATCTCAGCTGAAACACTTTCTTTACACCTAGCCTTGTATCTTTTTCTCTCAACCCCATCCTGGCCAGTGTGTCCTAGGAGAGTCCTGACCTGGACCTGATCTTCCACTAACCTAGGCTCTTGTGGAAGGCAAGTCTCTGGACTGAATTTTTCCCAGGTCTCCAGAGCACAGAATGGGCTGAGCATAGAATTGGGGGTAGGAAGGCAGTGTGGACATATTTGCTGAATGAGCCTGGATGGATCAATGACACAGAGGTTCTGGATGACAGAAAAGGTGACTTTTACACCCAGGAGTCCCCTATGCATCCCTGGATTGGACAGAAGGGTAAGGAATTGGGATGCAGGAGATAAACATTCAGGGAGTGAAGACATCTGAAAAATGCTAATTGAGAGAGAAAGAATGGAGAGAAGGGGGGTTTATTTACTCAATGTGTGTAAAGTCACATCAAATGCCCTCATACTTGTTACCTTGCTATAAATTCTCTCAGCAGCCCAGATCTTTCTGTCCCCACAGCCTATAACCTCCCATTGCTAGACAGGTTGAGTAGTAGATCTGCCTTTGAACTTGGTTCCTATTCCCACAAAATAATAATGAAAGAATCAGGTAAAAACCATTTCCCTTCCCCACCTGGAAGCAGAGCCAATGGGAGGGGCTGGAGAACAGGCCACCAGGACCTGCACTCACCATTCGATCTCTTCAGGGTCCCGGTCCCTCAGGAGCTCCTGTACCTCCTGCCGGCAGCGCTCCTGGTATTCTGGGTGCCTCGCCAGGTTGTACAAGATCCAGGAGAGACCACTGGCTGTGGTGTCATGGCCTGAAGGGCAGCCAGGCAGGCTTGGGTCGCTGGGCTGCTTCAACCCCAGAGTGGGTGGACAGCTCCCAGGCAATGAGGACCCCAGGCAGGATGGGGAAAAGGGAAGTAGAGCAGAATGAGGTGATGGAGGGCCCATCCACCACACCCCTGGGATGGAGAGGTCCTTGCCCCCTCTCTAAAGCAACACTGTGACCCTCACCCCCAAACATGAAAGTGTCGACTTCTGCTCTTATGTCCTCATCTGACAATGTCTTTCCATCTTCATCCTGGAGAGAAGGCAGACTCCACAAATCAAACCAGTATTGTGGGCTACTGATCTAACCTTAGACAATCTCTGAAGATCCATCCTCCATCCAAAACCCAAGCCCATTTGTATCAATAGTCTTCTCTTGGTCCTGATCACCAAAGTCCTCACCCTATAGATTCCTAACCTGGTTTTCTAGTCACCTGTTTTGTACTTGGTTCAAGAAATCATGTTTCCATACGATGGGGGAATCTGAGAAAAAAATTACTAGCAATCAGAGTTACAAAATGACTGAATAGAAATTTACACTGGAAGTTACTGATTAATCATTTCTTCAATGACATTTGTTCCCATTCTCAGGTTGTAAATCCAGAGACTCTTATCTTCCCTGGAGACATGTGGTTTTCAGGCACACAGACATTACCTCTGCATTGGACAGAGGCTGTTTATATCCCAAAGTTCTCTCTCCCTCCCCATCTTCTCCCTTCAGAGGAGAAGAAGAGGCAGATCTGTACCTATTTTACATAACCTCCTAGACGCAAAGGTACATGCCTTTCACCTGGGAAGAAAAGCCTGCTGCACATACAAGGAAAAGCACTGGTCATCCAGGGAGGGGCTGCTGGGAATGGGAAGCCAGTGCAACACTCCTCTCTGGCTGCTGCTGTTGCCATGAGTGATAAATGAACTGCTGTGATCACGGAGTTTGTTGCAGCTGTGAAAGTACATAGAGATACAAATACTGCAACACGCTAACATTAACTTGAAAGGGAGTAAAACCTCTGGCCCAGATTTAGCAGTCCCCATCTGATGTCATTCCAGCATAATCTCTAAACCATGCCCATCTCGGCTTTTTCCTCACCTGCTCTAATAATTTCTCTGAATAACTTGAAATCTCAAGTTATTCCTGAATACATGCAAAGTTGTATCATCTACCCTGACATTTCTCCTGAGATTGATATCAAGATCCACTTCACCTCTTAAAGTTAGGCTTGTGGCACATACCAGTAATTGGGAATCTGAGACAGGAGGATCTTTTCAGCCCAAGAGCTTAGGATCAGCCATGGTGACATAGTGAAAACTATCTGGGCAACAAAAGCTAATTACATAATTTCACCTCTTGAGAAGCCCACCTTGGTCAGTAGCAGCACATCAATGAAGTCCAATGTCTTGGTCTTGGTCTTGGCCAGGAGGAAGTCATCAAGACCCTCATCAGGGAGGGTACGGTGTCGTTCCTGGATGACAGCATCTGTGAATTTATGCACCAGGCGGCAGGCTTTACGGAAGCGCTGTCCATTGGGGGTGAGCTGGTACAGGAAGTCCATGTGCAGAAACAGCTGGTGGTTCCTTTTGGCCACAAGGGCACTGAGCTCTAAGATGGTGGCAATATATTCACTGGGCTTCCTGCAGGATGAGGACATAAAAAGAAGCAACCACTTAACATCCCTGAAGTCAAGGAACACCTCAGAGCAGCAGCTGGTTGCCAGCTCCCACCAGGATATGGAACATCCAGAAAAAGATGGCCCCACAAATATTTGGTGGAAATGAGGCATGAGCTTGACTCTCCCTGCATGGCATCTGTGTGAGCTGCCTCTGTGGCCCTAGGCACTCCAAGCATAGTGTAGACATCAGACTCCTTTCCTTCCCCTCCTACCCAGCATCCAGTCCAGCCCCAACTCCTTCTTGAAATTGTCTACTCAGCCCAGACTTCATTCTCTTCCAGGTGGTCTGTGGCCAGCCCCCTCCCAGTGTCATGTCCCAGTGTCAACTCCATGTAGTGTCAGTTTTCCACAGAACTCAACTCTTGCCATATCCATCACACAGTCACTTCTCCGTTATACTTTGGAAGTGTTCCTCAAAGGCCCATGTGTTAAAACCTTACTTTCCCGTCCCTGTAGCCCTCCCTTCTACCCCTCCATGGCTCAGTTTCTGATGCCCTAGGCAAGAACTCACTCCTGACAGTTGCTCTCGAAGCTGAAGATGCATTTCTGGAGACTGTCCAATGTCATGAGGCTGATGTGCTCAAACATGTCCAGACGGTTTTTGCCCTCGGAGATCAGATGCTGCCACTTGGCCTGGCCAGGGAAGAACTGAGTCTGGGTCTTGGCTCCCTGAGTCTCTTCCCAACCCAACCACCATGATGGACTCACCAGAACCAGCCTCCTGGTACCTCCTTGTCCTCTTCCCCAAGTACCCAATCCCAGGAATAACCAAGTAGAAGCTGTTATTATAGCAAATGTAAACCCAAGGCTAGGATCAGGAACCCTGAGCCCAAGTCCCAGCTCTTCCTGGCATGTTCAGTGCACCCTTGACTATATCTTTGCCCTCTGCCAAGTACTCTTGTCAAATCTTGAGCAACAGTTAAGTTGACCTATTTTAGTATGTAATAAACCAGGATGGAACCCCTGCTCCTACATTCTTAACTCACTACCTGGACAGACATGGGCAAGTTCCTTTATATATCTGACCCTCAGAGTCATCATCCATAACAGGGCAAAAAATAACCTCTTCCTCACAGGGTTATGCAAATTAAATGGGACACAGCATATTTGGAATTGGTACATGGCATCTCTTCTGGCACAGGGGTAGCATTCAATAAATGTTATCTTTCATCATGTTTAATGTAATAAATTGAATTCAAAATGTCCCCTTGCTGCTCTTTCATGGGGCTTGAGCATCCTTGTTAATTATGCCAAGAATTCACTTCCCGGATGTTCTTCACTGGGACCATTTCTCAGAGTTGTATTTGCAGAGGGAAAAAAAAGCAAGGGAGGAGGGACGATTACAGTAGACAAATAGTCTTGCTTCTGTTTTCTTGTGAGGCTGGGGGTCAAACTCCGGGCCTTCCTACACATGCAAGGCAAGTGCTGTACCTCTGAGCTACATCCGCAGCCCTCAGGTTTGCTTCTGCTTGCTGTGCAAGAAGATTCTCTAAGTCAAGCCTCCTTCCCTGTAATGCAATATCCTAAGTGAGCAGGCAACAATTGCAGCCCAGCTGGGTCCTCCTTTGGAATTTGGATGACTTTGGGAAAGAATGAAAAATCAATAATATTACTGGTTGTCCCTTGAGTAACTCACTTCCCTTTATCTCTGATCCAGGAATCTCATGTTCTGACAGAACACATGAAATGGTAAGAAGCTAACTTATCAGCTTGCAAGTACAGAAAAAAAAAAAAAAGCGTCTGCCCTTAGTAAAAATCTTTCTCCTCAATTCTTAATTCCCTATGTAAGGTGATTTTCAACACCTTCCATTAAGAGGTAGAGCCTGATTTACCCTGCCTATTTTGATTCTGTGCTGGACTTCTGACCCCATCACAATGTGGGGAAATTGATGAGACTGTAACTACAATCAAACCTAAACTTCAAAAGGCATTTCAGCCTCCTCTCAGTCCCATGGATCCCTATCTCTACCATGTGAATGGTCCCAGGATGCCTTCCGACGGGAGAGAATCACGTGGAGGAGAGTCCAGTCTTCCAGGCTAACATCTGAAATCAGCCTGAAGGTGGCCAAGCCCCAACCATGTAAGAGAACTGAACCAGGATCAACCAAGCAGCCCACTGACCCACGGCCCCTCATATCCCATAAGTGAACCCATCCCAGAGTCCAGAAGAACCAGACCATGGATCTCCACCCTTGCCAGCAACTACCATCCCTTATTGCTCCAATCCAATGAGTGTGGAAGAGTCTTGTTGCTCATTGATAGTTTCTATGCAATCTTCATCATTACCAACTTCAGTTTACAGAGCTATGAGAGAAACGTAGAAACTCTCTCCTTCTGAAAACTTACCATGTGCATGGGATGTGATTCCATTACCTCATCTGGACCACCCTCAAAATAGATTTCTGTTCTCACTTACAAATGAGAAAAGTGAGGCCCACAGAGAAACAGCAATTGTCTCACAGTGACTCCCCCAAAGCCAGGACTATAAATCAGATCTGTCTGTGTCACCTGTGTCCCTGCAGCTGGGACCCTGAGTTCAAGGGACTCACATGCATGACATTGGTGCTGTCATTGAAAATCTTCACATAGGGCTTCAGGATGTTGAAGTGGAAGGCTGGTGTCAGCATGCGACGGTGACAGCTCCACTTGTCACCGGAACTCAGCAGAAGCCCGTCCCCTGGTAAGTAGCCATGGTCAGTGGGACAAAGCTGTACATACCCCTGGCCCCAGGGCTGTCCCCAGCCCCCTTCGCCTGCAGTTACTCACCCAGCCAGGGTTTCAAGAAGCTGTAGAAGACTGTGTTCTTGAGCACCACCGAAACTGACATGAGGGAGAACCATTAGGGAACATGGAGTGGGGTAGTGTGGGGGAGGGGTCTCTGAACCAGTAGTCTGCAGTTCCCCATTCAAACCTACTAGAGCAGGAAGGAAGCCAAGCACAGGAGGGGGCGGCGAGACCAGAGGAGAGGAGACCAGGCTGTAGCAACTAGTAGAGCCAAGGCACAACCTGACATGGGACAACACTCACCAGCACGCCCTGGCATGACTTTTACATGGTCTGCCCCACTGAGTACAGCACCCCACTCTACAGACATTTACAGAGATCTAGGACACCATGAACACCACAGCACTCTGACATCTACAGAAATACACCTGGGACTTGTGACATTGATAAATTTGGGTTGACAAGCCCACAACATATGTGACCTGTCCTGATATAGCACTCGGATATGAACTAGACGTTGCCTGACAGATCACAGTGTACTCCATAGACAGGCCCCAACTCAGATTTCAAAATGGTCTCATTTAGAGTGCTTATCTACAAAGCACAAAGCCCTGAGTTCAATCACCAGTAGCACCAAAGAAAAGAGTCTCAATAACTTTCCAGATGTGGCCCAGTTTCGATGCTACTAGGCATCAGATATTACCCAGATATATCCTAAGGCCTGCTTTAAACAAGATCAAATAAGGTATAAGTCATTTCTAAGAGGGACCGTGAGTCCCAGACCTAAGACAAGCCCCAACCAGTGTTCAGATTCAACCAACAGGAGGTAAAGACAAACACAAACAGTCACTCAGACAATAACCAAACACACCCTGACACACCCCAAATGTCCATGGTCCCAGATGAGCCTCAAACATAACCATGGTCATAAGATCCTAGGTGACAATCAGGTGCTGGGCTCCCTCCCAACACCTTCAAAACACAATCTTCCAGGTCCCTCAGTTACAGGGACACAAGAATTCCTTCCCCATTTGAGTCCCAAACTCCACATTCCTAGGGTCTCTTTCATCCCATTTTCCAGATAAAGAGCTCAAGACTCTAAGGAATGAAGTCACTTGCCTATAATTTCCCAAATAGTGGGTGGTCTGCCTGAGACCTGATCCTGGATCCTTCTGACTCCATAGCCTGGGTTCTTATCATTCCACTGGTTGTGTATCCCAAAACAATGGCACTGAAAGCACCATGCCTGCCAACACTTGGCAATCAAAGTGAAAGAGGTTGAATAGAAATCTTGGCCAATCATTCATGCCAGGACAAATAAAATAAATCACAGGCCATTCATGGGAAAGGTGAGATTTCCCATGGAATTGAACTTCTGTGAGTCATCATGAGATCTGGAGGAAAAGGCTGCCTTGAAAGGGAAAGTTGTACACAGGAAGGTAGAACCAACAGAAGGAGACAGACTACAAAGTCATTCTTTGACACCTGGAGACAGCTGTCCCTAAAGACCATCTACCTTGGTCAGTAGTCAGTAGATTCCCTTTCTGTGCTTAGACTACACCAGGATGAGTTTCCACACTCACAACTGAAAGAATTTGGCATCCAACAGAGAGCTAGGGATCTGCCCTGAAGGATGTTGCAATGATCTCAACATGAGCTGATTCCCCAGCTCAGCCTGGAATGTCCAAGGATGAGGGTGAGGGATGATAGCAGTGGAAGGAAAATGTGGAAAGGGAGCTAATGAAAACATGAAGGAAAGATGGTGAAGACTGAGAGAGAAGAAGAAAGGAGGGGTTCAGGTTCCTGCCGGAGTTGAACAGAAGTATGGGGTGTTTACTGCAAGTTGTACCATGGTGCCCTCCGCCAGCATGGGTACCTGAGGCACTGAGGACAGATCGGACGATGTCGGGGTGGCACAAATTGATGATGGGGAAAATGGGGCCCATCCATGTCATATAGATCTGAGGGTAGGTGACCACTAGCTCAGACACTTTTTTCAGGCCCTGCTCCGTAGGTGGTACCTGCAAAAAATACAAGGTGTTCCCCTCTTGAGATGGTTCATTACAGGTGTCAACCTGGCTGGGATGAAAAAAACACCCACATGGCTGGTAAAACATCACTGCTACATGAGTCCAGGAAAAGGGATGGGCATTTGCATCAGGCAACTGAGTAGGAAGGTCCACCCTCCATAGGTGGCTAGCATTATCTAATGCATTGAAGACTCAGATAAGATAAAAAGACAGAGGAGAGGCAAATTGGCTCTCACTTCTGCAGCTGGGACATCCACCTTTTCCTGTCCTCACACATCAGAACACTGTCCTTGAGCCTTTGGACTCCAGCACTTACACCAGCAGCCCCTCCTCAGCCCCAGATCTCAGACCTTTGATGTCACACTGAATTCATTGCATCACCAGCTTCCCTGATTCTCCAGCTTCCAGATGGTATATTGTGGGATGTCTCAGTCTCCATAAGTACAAAAGCCAATCCTCAAAATAAACATATCCCAACCCTCTCTCCATATTTATGTGTCTTGTGTAGATATGTATGCGTGTATGTGTATGTATATAAATATATATAAGGTCATGTACTGCTTAATGACATTTCTGTCAAGAATACACCACACATATGACCTTAGACCCATTAGAACAACAAAAGAGCTAAGCTGGGCATGGTGGCACCCACCTGTAATCCCAGTACTTGGGATCAAAGCAGGAGGATTGTGAGTCTGAGTCCAAACTGTGCTACAAAGCAAGACACTGCCTCAAAAAAAGAAAGAAAGAAAGAAAAAAGAATATAAAGAAGCTGAAAAATTCCTATCATCTAGTATTTTTATACTTTTTTCTATGCTTATATACATCTAGATAAACAAATACCGTAGTGTTACAATTGCCTCCAACATTCACAACAGTAACGTAGTGTACAGGTTTGCAAACAAGGAACAGTAGGTGATAATGCAGAGCTTAGATGTGTAGTGGGCTACACCAGCGTAGTTTGTATAAATGCACTCTTAGATATTTGCACAACAAAATCATTGCCCATGAGTTTCCCAGAATGTGTCATCATTACTAAGCATTGCATACCTGCGCCCACATATCTCTTCTCTCTTTCTCTCTCTTTCTCTCTCTCTCTCTCTTGCTCTCTCTCTTTCTCCCATCTCCAAATCCCAAGGGTGTGCATCCTGGAGTTGCTGGAAAACTCATGCAGTCTTACCCTGACATGCCTACCTTGGCCCAGGAGAATTTTTCATCCAGGCAGTGGTTCCAGCACTGGAGGCAGTCACAGGAGGAAATTGACACAGATAGGGTTTGTAGGCCAGCAGTGTGGCCTCAGAACTTGTCCCTGTCTTGTCCCACATCCTTTCATGCCTCAAGTTCCTTCTGTGAAGAAGGGTTTGCACACTCGGGAACTTCCAGCCTCACCAGAACCCAGGTGATCAGTAGTGACCTCTTACTCTCTATCAATGGGATGGTTGCCACTGGGAGCACCTGCTGCTCACCAGACTAAGGTAGAGCATCCTGACCCTGGTCTCAATGAATCTTGTACACACTCCAGTCAACTATACCCTCAGCAAGTGAAGCAACCAAGGCTGCTACATCACCAAAAGCAGGCGCAGATCTAAATCCAAGGTCAAGATGAGGAGTAAATGGTAATGTCAAGAATAGCTTCTGGGGCTGGTGGAGTGGCTCCAGTGACAGAGTGCCTGCCCAGCAAGCATAAGGCCCTGAGTTCAAACCCCAGTAACATCAGAAATAATGGCTTCTGGCAGGGTTAGTCACAGAGCAGGTATTATCCAGGTTGAGTAAGAGGACTCACTGGTATATCTTAGGGGAAGAGATGGAGTGACTCAGGACAGAGGAGAGATCCATATCTCTCTTCTGGCCCAACTATGCCCCACATATGTGTGTGGTGGAAGGAGGTTAAATATCATTCTTGTGGAAAACCAGAAGCCCAGAGATGCACTGACACAAAGAAATGTCCAGGTAGGGAGCAGACACTGGACAGCACCCCCCTGAGGTAGGATAGCTAAGTTATAAGATGACAGGTAAATTAGAAAATATATCAAAAACGACTCCGGGTTCAGTAGCTGGAAAGAATCAGGATAAAGGGTGAGAAATCACTGGAACAGCAGTAAGTTGAATCAATGTACAGACCTACATGCTCATGTCACAAGACCTGTTTTTGATGTGCTGCCAACCTAGTCCCTTTGTCTCCAGACTTGAGTGACAGTAGCAAAGCAGGACAATTAGGAACTTGTTAGGTAACCATACATCCAGATGAATGATTCTAAACTGGAACCCCCCAGCCCAGTTACAGGACATAAATACTTTTGGACAAAGACCACCATTGAGCCCTCTGCTCCTACCTTCTGACAGCCTTGTCACAAGGAACTGCTAGCTCATTCTCCCTCTTTTCATACACCTTGCTTTATCTTTTTCTGCCTCATAAATCTCTGCTGTCCTGCTGCCTTGTATGTCCCCTTCATGAGCTACTGAAAAATTCATTCAGGTATTCTTTTAAGTGCTTGGGGGATCATGGTGAGCTTGGAAAACCCAATAGAGAGTTCCTCTCTTCCACTGGGGAAATCTCTCTTTCTAATACCCTCCCAGTGAAACCTCAGAAGGCCTGAAGTCCAGCAGTGGAAAATGTGGGCACACCCTAGATCCTCGCTCTGAGTAGCCTGCCTTGGGATCCCCTCACGGCTGCACCCATGTGGGGAAGTAGGATAAAAATGAACCCAAAGTCGACTAGGGGTTGGAGGACAGGAATGGGAAAAAGGCTTGGGATGGCATGACAAGGACTACAGCCCACACAGTACCTCCAACTCCCTGGCCCCTCAGAAGTCCATCCATCCTGACTTCCCAGACCCATCCAGCTGTCACTCACCATACCCAGGTGACCCAAGAGCCAGTTCCGTTTGGGGGGCTGAGGGAAACATTGGAGGCGACGAGAGTTTTCATAAAAAGTGTAGATCCAGGTCAGGACACGAGCCAGGAGCCAGGAGGCCCCAACCAGCAGCAGGAACAGGCATGGGGAGGCTGCTACCGACCGCAGACCCAGCCAGGAGAGGCTCAGCTGTGGCATCCTGGAGGACAGAGAGTAAGCACCTGAGGCCCAGGAGAGGGACAGGGACTCCAGGGACAACAGTCAGAGGCAGGGACTGTGAGTGCTGGGAGAGGGAGGGGAAGGGAGACCCAGAGCAACCAGGGGAAGAGGTAGTGACAGAGGAGAGAAGGAGGAAGAGGAAGAGGAGCAGGAAAAAGAAGAGGAGGAAAGGATGAAGAAGAGGAGGAGAAGGAAGAGGAGTACAAGGAGGATGATGAAGAAAAGGAAAAGGATAGAGTCCAGACCTGCCTAAATCAAAGGGTGCCTGGATACCAAGTCTCCTGGACCAACTGGTCCCCAGAGTCACCCCAGCCTTGAGCAGTGCCCTCCCCATTCCAGGCCAGGACACTCCAGTCCCACCTCCCCCAGCCTGCGCCTTCTCTCAGAAGCATCTCACCCCCCACAATCTCCTCTTCCCTCTTCTGGGACTTCCTCACCCCTGACTTCTAACCTGGAGACCACTGGGAGCCTGGACCAGGGCTGGCTGGACCAGCTAATCCTCTGCAGGCTGATGGTCTCCGTCCTGACTGTGGTAAGGGAGTTGGGGGTGGAGAGGAGGGGCAAGATATAGGAGCAGGGCCAGCCAGATACAGAAGGGTTCTAAGCACAGACAGGAAGGGAGGCAAGCATGTAAGTTTTTCTCAGCGCATTTCAGGCTAAACTCCTTATCACAGTCCAATGTTATCCTTTGCACTTGTAAATTGTAAGGCAAGAAGCCTTGGGGCTGCCAGGGCACTGGTGGCTCATACCTGTAATCCTAACTAACTAGCAGGCAGAGATCAGTAAGATCCAAGGTTTGAAGCCAGCCCCAGGCAAATAGTTCATAAGACAATATCTTGAAAAAAAGCCATCACAGGAAAAGGGCTGGCTCTGTGGCTCAAAAGGTAAGAGCTCCTGCCTAGCAAGCTTGAGGCCCTGAGTTCAAACCAGTGCTTAAAAAAAAAAAAAACCCTTGGAGTGATTCTGCCCTCCATTGCCTCTCAGATAAAAATCCTTTGCTTAAAATATGAATATTGGGAGAGATGACCCAAACAATGTATGCATATGTGAATGAATGAATTAAAAAAAAAAAAAGAACACGACTGGTAAAAGCACAGCAGTCTTTAACAGTAGATAATCACTACCATCCTATGAAATGAATTATAATTTAGGCTAAAAAAAGTAAAATAAAATATGAATATTGATCACATCCATGCAAGTGATTACAATACCTAGGAGCTAGTTTAAGTGCATGTGCAGAGTTAACTGTCAATAACCTTAGCCCAACCCACCAGAACCACTTAAATCTTTCCCCATTTATTGGCAGTTTTAAAAAGAAAGCCTTAAAATAGAGAGCTACTGTGAGAGTCAACTAAATTGGGCCCTTTCTGTCAAAGGGCTAGCTTAGTCGGTACAGCATGAAATTCTTAATCTTAGGATCATGAGTAAAGTTTCTGCCTTTAACAGAGAATTGTTTATCAGATATCCTAAATTCAAGCCTCTACTTTTAAGGTAATCATTGTCACAAGGAATTTCTGCTCCAAGGTCCCCTAGACCCACAGGTTAATAATACACCTGGTGCTGCCATTTGAGGTCAAACAGTCATTTCAGGCCACAGTTTCTGCAGAATCATAGAATTCCCACCTCATGGGTCACCTCTTTGTCTTTGAGTACACCAACCAAATTAATTGGAGAGACATGCTCTCCAATCATGTCTGCTCTTTCCCTGTGCCCTTCCCTAAACCTCAACCTTAGTCAGCCACGAAGATCGTGAACTCAAGAGTGAGGGGCAATCTTGCATTAGGAATAAAGACAGGCAGTCCTTCTGCCCTGTGTGCTGGCTTGCCTGACTTGAGTCAGAGGCACACACCTTTCTGCAGAAGTAAATTTTGCCTTGCCCACCAACTTTCAAGCACGTGTCTGATTTGCGATCATGGCAGCACCCCAATATTTCTAACATACACAAGTACATAATATTTCTACCATATTCACCTTCCTACACCCCTTCCTCCTCCCTCCCACTGATACCAACCCCCAGGCAGGACCTGTTTTATCTTCCTGTCCTCTGTTTTTTTAAAAAAAAAGACATTTTTGTTTGTTAATGATATCTATACAGTGAGTTTCATTATGGCATTTCCATGTATTATATCCTGAATTGGTTTATCTCCTCCATTTTTCTCTCCTTTCTACCTTAGTTCTCTTCTTATGGTGATTTCAACAGCTTTACATATTCTATCTTCAATCTTGCATAATCACTAAATTGATACAGTTTTAATATGTGTTGTTTTTAATGCACTAGTCTGTCAAGGATTGAACAAAAACTTCATTTGGTCCTAAAATTTTACAAAGTGACTAATTTGCAACCTTTAGGCACTTGCTACTCACAGCTAATTGAATGGACAGGGGAGAATGATGGAATTGGTTCCCTGCAGCTACTGAATTATCTAACTCCAGGGACCTTTCTCTCTCTCTCTCTCTCTCTCTCTCTCTCTCTCTCTCTCTCTCTCTCTTTTTAGGTACCAGGGTTTGAACTCAGGGCCTACACCTTGAGCTACTCCACCAGCCCTGTTTTGTGTTGGTTGTTGTGAGATAGAGTCTCGTAAACTATTTGCTGCCTTTGAACCATCTCTGCCTCCTGAGTAGCTAGGATTACATGTGTGAGCCACCAGCACCCAGCCAAGATATTATCTAAAGTATTTATCCCAACCAGGTCTAACTAAAATGCAGACATTCAAAAATTATTCTCTGCCTTAGAATTAAAGAAAGCTTTTATGGACTGTGAACTTAATCTGTTTCATTCTGTCATGAGTGTAATTTATATTCATCTTTCTTTTGTAATTAGGTTTATTACCAAATGTGTTTTTACAGATTGCTATTGTACAAAAAAGTATAAAATTGCTTTTCTTCATGGGTCATCTTTTAAAGTATAAGGTTGCGAAGAGTATTTTATTAAAAACAGCATTTTCGGGACAGCAGAGTGGTTCAAATGGTAAAGTGCTTGCCCAGCAAGCATGAGGCCTTGAGTGCAAACCTCCCAGGAAGCAAGTTTACTAAGGAGGCCGGCAGTGACTCAGCAGACTCGAGTCCAAAGGCTGAGCCCTGAGAACAAAGGGGGTTTTCTTTATATGCCACTTAGAGCAGGTTACAGAAATGGGGGGAATACAGCTTGTCCCATGCCTGGTCACATTCTATTTCATTGGCTATTTTAACCCGGGGCAAGGTGACCCTCCTCTGGTCTCCTTCCAGGTGCTACTTGACAATTCCTCAAATCCAGTTTTTTTTTGTTTGTTTCACTGTTGCACTCATTATCTCCCTTCCCTCTCCCTGCCTTTCTGCCACACTTTATACAATGGAAGTAATTAGGCTGTTCTGTCAGTTGATAAACTGTTTTTTAAATTTTTAACCACGGTTATTTGAAATTTGTCATTGCAGTTCTGATCCTCCTGGAGTGTTAACAGAAAAGCCCATGAAAAATGACAAGTACTTATCTGCCAGCCAAGTCAGACATTCTGAGTATTGGCATTGTTGCAGGCTGGTGTCAAGGGTTCTTGCCTCCATGCGCCAAAGAACTGGCTCATGAGGCAGCGGTTTAACTAGTGAGACAACAAGATCGGCACACAAAGTAGGATTTATTAGAGAAAGAAAAGGCTACAGCTAGAGCAGTGCAGTGGAACCCAGAAACTGGTGACTCTCCGCTCAAGGGAAGGCTGGGGCTTTTTATGGATGCTTTAACTCTGGCTTAGGGTAAGGGTTAGGTGGGTTCTTTCCATTGGTTGTGGATTCGCACATGCAGGCTCTCTTCAATGAGCTGGTCTGTTTGCCCCTTATTGGGGGGGGCGACAACCTTGACAGCAGTCTGTTTATCAGCCCCGTGACAGATTTATGAGACCCTGTATCTCCTCCTCAGGGTGAAGGGCTCATAGTGCTCTCAATGGAGGATGGGATACTGACTCACTAATCTGTCCGTTAGGTTCCCAGACCGAGCAGCATTGTTTTGTACTTTCCTTGTAAAACTTTATAACTGTTGTTTTTTGACATTTTGCAGCATTTTTAAGATGCCAGAACATCCTTTATAGGACAGTCAAAATTTGACTTACTAATGGACCCTAGGTAAGCCCAGCCTAAGAACCATTTCTTTTAAATATTTTTGTTGCTTAAATTTGACCACAAAGGTCTCTTTGGTACTGAATCCCACCTGACCTGTCTGTTATGCTACTTCCCCCGGCATTGTGGCACCAAAACAGACTTTCCAGGAGAAAGCTAATCCTCACAAACAAGGGACCAAAATGCTCAATCTACAAAGTCTTCAGAAATAACTGTTTAAAAGGACAACAGTTTAAATTTACTACAATTTAAAAAGACTACACAAAAAAAGGAGACATCCTCCAGATCTAAATGGAGTCATTTATGGCAGAAATTAAAAGTAACCAAAGCTGAGAGATTTAAGGAAGAGGTTCTTATGTGTGTACTATCTGTATTAAAGCCTTCCAGGATTCTGACAAAAGACAAACTCATGTCTTAGGCCAAGGCCTTCTGCTTAAGCAGAGGCAATACAACCATTGCCACCCCGTCAGCCCTTTTTTTGTGTTGGGTATTTTCGAGATAGGGTCTCATGCACTGTTTGCCCAGACTGCCTTTGAACCGTGATCCTCCTGATCTCTGCCTCCTGAGTAGCTAGGATTACAAGCATTAGCCACCGGTGCCCAGCATGAACAAAAAAAAAAAGATTAAAAAAACTGAAAATCAACTGTAGTAATTAGTTGTTTTCTGGAATTCAGAGGCAAAAGAAGTTTTTGACCATTGCTCGATAAACTAATCCACACATTTATACAATTATATTAATTTAGAGTACTCTTAAATCCTCCCTAGGGGGTAACAAGATGGTGTAGGAAAAGGAAACAAATGTCTAAGGAAGGCGAAAGATTTTGTTGGGTCTGGGGGGATCAGAAGACAAAAATGAGAAGGTGCCCCCATCCCCCATGAGAGCACTGTGAGCCCTA